CAGCCTGCAATCAAAGACTCAAAATGTCTAAAAAATTACTGTTTTTTAACAACATTTTTCAGTTCAAGAAGCAGCAGAAAGCCTTTTTTAAAAATTATTTCGCTTTTTTCAAGCGTGTTTTTTCAAGCGCTTTTTTCAAGCACATGCGATGCGAGATAATTACTTCTATATGCTGATCTACTTCCTCAACCCAACTTGTTGGAAATCTGCCAGGAAAACTGCTAATCCATCTCCTTAGGTTTTCTGAAGCGTGTGATTCTTGTTCTTCTCGCAATTTTGACAGCTCCAGAGTGGTAATTCCTCGATACCCTTCAGAGTGCTAAAATACGATTTTTTTCAGCGGCGAATAGGTTATGTCTTGTCATAAAAACTGATATTGTTTGATGAACGGAGTATAGAAGCGGGATGCTGTACCGTACAGAAATATCTCTTAGCAAGAGAAATCAGATTTTTGAAGGAAAACAGGAGATGATATTAACATTGGTAAGAGGAAAGAGACGATGAGAACTGAAAAAAATGGAAATGTTTTCGGCTGTCATTAGATCTTCATGACTCAACTTTTGCTTTCAGCGGCTTTACCGTGTAGGTAATCTGAGGTTTTCCGATGCCGTTCGTAATGCCAGTACTAATTCATTGCTAGGTGTTTCCCATTTAGCAGCCGATTTTCTATCTCCCAGGTATTATTGTGATTTTGGATCAAGTGTTTTATACTGTGTTTGTGGTCACTTTAAAGTGCCTATCTAGGAAATGTTTCTCAATGTTCGGAAAGTTCTTATTAATTAGATTTAAGCTGGGTCTACTCTGTTTGTTTTTCTGGTTTTTGCTTCTATTTCTTGTTTCAATTCTAAAATCTACTTTGATTATTTCTACTTACATCTTCGGTGTATTTAGAATCTGTTCGCCTTACTTTTTCTCTGCTTTTCTTTTGAGTTATTCAACCATGCAATTAATGTTCTCTTCAGTGTCATATGCAATTTCTAAAGCATTTCCTGCATATCGTGCAACACATTATCAACCTTAATTGGAATAAAAACAGCTTTGGCTGGAACAAGACCTTTTTGTACTAAAAAGAGAATAAAATTAAAGTGAGCTTGCTGATTCAAAATAATGGGATATCAACCGAAGCTTAACAAACCAACCATAGTATAAAGATCTTCTAAATTTGCAGAATCGTATCGTACATGCTTGGCTCTTAGTGCCTAGAACATTTAACAATAATCGTTAATTACTAATGTTTTGTAAAGCACCAAAATAGAACTGTTAAAAGAATAACCCTGTAGAAGCGCTTAGAACAGTTTTTTTTTCTAAACGAAGCGTTTTCGAGTTTTAGGAAATTTGCAAGTCCTTGTCATTAAAAAGCATACCCGTTTAGCTTTGGTAACAAATAACTCCTTACAGGCAAGGAGCTCAGATTTCATTTCGCTCAGCTTCTCATCGTTCTTCAACAACACTGTTTGTGTCTTACTATACTCGCGCTGCAAAAATATCATTGATAGAACGACGAAAAGAGCTAGTTGACACAAGCAATGACAAATTTTTTAAAAGTACTCTTACTCAATTTTAGAACAAGGCTTAAATGCAAAAGTTCTTGTTTAAGCGTTTTGGTTCTTAAGATAGCTTCTCTTATCTTCATAAGCAACCATCATATTGCAACCATCATATTGTTGAAAAAAAAACCTCAATATCTTCCCCAAGAGACTTGATCCAACTTTTACTGGATCCGCCGGTAATGTTTTTCAGTTTTTCCTCAAATCTGTGTAACGCCACTGACTTCTGTTTTTCATGAACACGCCTTAGATCTTCATCTCTATTCCCAGTTTTTTTTCTCTGTAACAAAATTACAGAAGGTTCTAAACTTCAAAAACCAGTTGCTTGACTTAGTCGCAGTTTTTCTAAAAATATACCAAATTATAAAGTTGGTCAGAGGTCGCGGAAGTGCACGTTGCGCCGTAGCTTGAGAGATCCTAAAATAATAATCTGATTTGTCTTTTACTCCATCGTCAAGAATCAAGAACGGCATGTATGTCGTAAACGAAAGAGACAAAGCTCTTAAAGATCTAAAGCACAAACTTTATCTTCTACGTGCCTTTCTAGCTCTTTGTAAACAACAGAGGTGTAAAGTTCTACCTTTTTGACGAGTGCGATGTAAGTATCCTTACATTCAGCAAAAAGTGCCTCGGCATCTTTGAGCATTTCTATGTTTGTAAGGACGGCAGATCCAATTCTGAACCACTCAGCCTGCAATTGAAGACTTAAAGTGTCTAAAAAATTACTCTTTTTCAGCAACATTTTTGAGTT